GAATTTGCCTATGATGCGCAAGAAGCATATGTTGGCAAAGAGGCGGCCGAAACAGCTGGCTATCAGCTGCAGTCCGCCTTTGAACCGCCCGCAGCTAGTGAAGGTTATTCCCAACATGCATCTGCTGAAATGTATCAGGGTTCATATCCTGAAGCTTCTGCTTCAGGAGATGATACAGGCAACAATGACCAATCTAGATCTCAAGACCATCAAGCCAATTACTATGCTGGGCCGTACTATCAACAGAATGCTCAGCAGACATCGCAACCCGCCAATGGAGGAAGCTTTCAAGCTCCGCTCAACAAGCCCGCTACTCCGGATACTGTTGCTGACAAACCGTGCCCAGATCCAACATGTACAGGTCTGAATAAGGCGACAGCAAAGTTTTGCAGCGAATGTGGGAGACAATTAGCTGCCGTTTCACGGACGACAACTCCATTGATCGGATCACAATCGGCATCTCAGTCATCCTATGATCTTCGCAAAACCATGAGCCCGTTCCCCTCAACAACGCCCACGCAACACCAAGAGGCAATACCAGAAGTGGAGACCGCGCGGTACGCCTCATACGATGGCTATGGTCAAACACAGCAGTACGGATACCAGCAAGATCAGGGTTACGGTTACTACGGCAATATGGAGGCCGAGGCTAATGCTACGCCGGAATACGGGCTGGCATATGGAGGCGTAAACACTTCTTACGGCATGCAAGGATACCAGCCTGTTGGTGTTTCAGATCCTCTTGGTCGAGATAAAGGCCATCCACTTGTCGCTTTTGGCTTTGGCGGCAAGCTCGTCACCATGTTTCCGCACAAGCGGCAAACAACCTATACCTCCGTCAGCACAGAGCTTGTCGCTGGCTCCATATGCATTGACCGCCTCCGCGAGAAGGTGGGAATTGATCATCCATTTATCAAAGATTGTGCAGAGTTCCCCGGTCCATTGCTCGCCGACACCAACAAAGGCGGCGCAAAGCAAAAGCGCAAGGACGTCACAAAATGGCTGGATGAGAACATCGAGACGGCCGAAAGGGAACTCGCAACATTGGGAACAACAGACGATCCCTCAAAGCACCAAGAAGCACGCTTGGTATTGCTGCGTTTATTCAAAGTTTTGCTGGAGCACGACGGCACCCTCACTGGTGGTCCAAAAATGGATGAGTCTATGTGTAGAGCTCTTGTCCCTGTGGTCAAGACGGAGGACGTGTGCAGTGATACCGCTGCGTTCACTGTTCCCGCCGATGCTCAGTCTGTAATGACAGGCCAACCGTCGACCATTGCGAACGAAGAGTCAGCAAGGACTTTGGACAAATTGCAATCGTACTTGTTGCGAGGTGACCGAGCGGGAGCGGTAACTTACGCCATCCAAGAGGATATGTGGGCGCACGCGCTCATTATCAGTAGTTGCGTCAACAAGGACCTATGGAAGGATGTTGTGACTCAATTTGTCAAAAGAGATTTGTCCGCGCAACTTCCAGGGTCCGAGCGAGGAAAGCCTGTATATGGCGATAAGGCGGGTTTACGCGTCCTGTATTCGCTTTTTGGTGGAGCTGGAGCGGCTTCAGGTGAGCAAACTTGTAGGCGCTGTTAACATATCGCTGACGTTGCACAGTAAGCGAATTTCTGCCAAAGACCAATCCTGTCTGGGCGAGTAAGTCAACTCGACATCGTGACCCCTCTGGCGGATTTGTGGAAGCGGACACCTCGCCAGAAAAGTTGGCTGCTTGGAGAGAAACGGCTGCCTTGATTTTAGCCAACAAGACTGGCAAAGAACAAGATGCGCTGGTTGCCCTCGGCGATCTCTTGAGGCAAATGCAATGGACCCATGCAGCCCACGCATGGTAAGTGCTTGCCACGGAACGCATTGACCAGAGTCTTACGAATCATAGTTATTTGCTTTCAAATCAACCGCAAGCCTTTTCCGGCATAGCTACTCGAGACGTCAGAGTCGTACTCATTGGCGTCGATCATCAAACTCATCCGTCATCCTTCTTCAAAGATATGCAATCGATCATTCACTCAGAATTGTGGGAGTACGCTATTACGGTCAAAACCGGACCGGTCAACGCCATCCCTCACTTACAGGCTTATAAGCTTTTGCACGCATGGTATCTGACCGATCTTGGATTTTTGCACGAGGCTCAACGCTATTGCGAGGCGATCACCACAATCATCAAAAACAACCAAAAGGGCAGTCTTTATTTCCACAAGACGCTGTTGGAGGGTATTAAGGAATTGAGTGAGTTGCTGCACGGTAGCTTTGGTTCGGAAGGTGCAGAAGGCGCGTCTTGGCTCACCAAGAGCATCTCCAAGCCAAACTTTGACTCCCTATGGGGATCCCTTGAAGGGAAGCTCACCAAATTCGTGAGCGGGGACGATCTTCCTCCAAGCGAGCCTGAGAGTCGCGCATCAACAGAGATTGTTGCCGGTCCGTTCGGCTCTACAGATATACCGCCTGCGCGTAGTGCCTCAGCCACAAGTCTTCGCGGACCGTTCAGAAATAACAGTATGACAACTCTTGACCCGAAACGATCCGCCACACCCGTCATTAGCACCTATGCTGGCGGAAAGTATCCATCGTCGGGACCCGGATATTCCTATGGTAGTGAAATGGCATCCGTACCCGAATTTGGGCAAACCCCACAAACCTACGACTCGACTCAATATAGCGATTACAATGGAGGCTACGATGCGTCGGTAGGGTCTGAGCAGCCTGCATATGGCACGGAGGGACAGCCTGAGGAATCTGGCTTTGGTTATGTTCCGCCTCATGTCAATAAGGTGTCAAGCCCTTTTGGAGGTAGCAACGTCTCGGCGTCCAACAGTACCTATGGCTCCTTCTACCCAACGGCAGGCGGTTCAACCTATGCACCAACGCAGTCTGGAGGAGGTTGGTGGGGTCAACAGGAATCGACACAAGAAACTTCCGAGCGTGCAGCTCCAGTCTCCACCCAACCCCCCGCTTCAACATCGTATCTGGACGACGAGGACGATTTAGGTTTCGGCAACAGCTCCCTGAAGAAGGCTTCCAAGGATGCGGCAGGTGGCTCAAAGGAGGAGGCGGAAGATGACAGCAGCAAGGACAAGGAAAAAGAGGAGGCTGCTAAACCGGCCGAAGAAGCCAAAGGTAGGCGCAGGTCAAATGTTCTCGGTGAGCGAGTCACTCATGGCATTCACATCCAATAGAACAAACAGGTGGTTGGGGCCTTTTTAGTTTGTTCTCTCGCAAGGATGGCGCTACCACGCCTACGCCCAAGTCCAAGAAGGCTAATCTGGGAGAAGAGAGCAGTTTCTATTACGACGAAAAAGAAGGGCGCTGGGTCAACAGAAAAGCCGGTAGCTCCTCCCCAGCTCCCCCGTCGCTTCCGCCACCACCCAAGGGTCCGGCATCGCGACCTGCCACTCCCGCGACAAGTGACGCCAACTCCCACATAGGAGCTCCACCACCTCCTCGAGCATCCTTTGGTGCTCCTCCTCCAGCTATGCCGCGTACAGCTTCTGCTCCCGTGGGTCCACCCATGTCCACCTTGGGCGGGCCGCCTGGTACTCCTTCTCCCCTCGGCAGTGTCCGAAGTTCATCCGCCATCAGTCAAAGAAAGAAACCGATGAAGGCTCGTTATGTGGACGTTTTCAATCAACCATCCCAATGAGCGAGACAAGTTAGATCCCCAAAATTCACATTGTTCATTGTATAAGAGCATTTCAAACCATTTAGACTCAGGAAGACAAATGGATTGGTTCAAACAGACCGATGATTCATGGTCGCTTAATGTTGTTTCTCGCCATGTTTGTGCCTGGACCTGCAAGTCATGTATTGCGACCTTGGAAAAAGCAATGGCCGCATTGTGGATAGCAGCGGGTCTCCATGCCAGGCTCAAGAGCTGTTACGGCGTGCAACGTGAGTATAAACAATCAAACACAATCACTCCCATTGGATACAAGTGCCATTTACAATCGCATTATACAAGGTTCTATGCACACATGAAAGCTCAACAAAACCTTCATCATCCCCATTTAGCCAATCGCCAGAGATCTCGTACACCTCGAGACTCACGCATTAAACAATACACCACAGCATGTCAGGGACTTGCATCTTGCCAGTTGGATTCCTTGGCTATCCTCTGCTTCTCCAGAATGTACTTGCCTTCCTTGTACTTTTCTCGCTCCTCAAAAGCATAGAGCTGTTTTCCGCATGAATCACCCTTGCTTAATGTCATGGATCACTTACGTATTTCCATCCAATGACCGTCTGACAAACATTACAAAAGATGTCCGCCACGGAATGTAAGCCTGTCATGAGAATGCGATCTTCTTCCTTTCCATTCGATACATTCACCCTACACGTCCTATAAGCGTCTTGTAAGATCAAGAACTATGCACTACATACACATTGCTGATGAGATACGCCTTGCCGTGGCGGCCTTGAAAGTTCTAGGATACAAGGTCAATACCCGTCAAGCCGCAGCATGGCGGTACTCACCTTGGATATAATGTCTTCGTCGACGGCGAGATGCGTATGACACGCACTGCATGTGTATATTCTGTCGCTATTCAAATAAGACTGATAGACTTTACCCATGGTAGAACTCTGCACTCTTCAACAGAGACAAGGAGAGTGTTGCAAGCAAGGGTGGCCAATGACAAACGTCGAGCAACGAATAGTCGACGAATGAGCGAGCGCGATACAGAGTAGGTATAGAAAAATAGACTGTACAAGTGGAGGTCCCACAGTGCAAAGAGAGAGGGCAAGAAGCGAGCAAGAGCAAGCGAGGTAGAGCAAAGAGTGTGAGACGGAGAGAGCGAGAGCCAAACTACAGAAGCCGGATTTGGTCACAAGGCACTTAGTCACGGGAACAATCCATGGCAAACTATAGACAAGAAATGACATGTCGATAGACACTACGGATGCTTTTATGGCTTAAGCAATGGATAGTAAAAAAGAGGAGCATGGTGAAGAGAGAGAGTAAGTTCACAAGGCATGCAAAACCAACAAAAAGATGTCGACAGCAGTAGGATTTGAACCTACGCAGGCAGAGCCTATATGATTTCTAATCATACCCCATAACCAACTCGGGCATACTGTCTTATATTAAAAGTATTTTCGATGAGCACAATTATGGAGTGACAAACGAGAGAAGATCCCGTGATATGAAACGTGATTGTCATGTGATGTTTCATTTCCGTCAAATAACGCCTCAAAAAGGTGATTCGGAGATTGGAACGGATGTAGTGGTACAATTGAGCTACCTTGGAAATATACCCGTGCTCGATACTAAGTCTGCAAGTTATCGTTGAGAAAGACCATTTGCTCCGTTTGAAGCTCGTAACGCGGCGAATCTTCTGGAAACGTTGCACTCAATGTAGCCCGGAGGATATCCTCGGTAAAGAGTTTCGGAAGCGTACTTGTCGCACACGTAAAGAGGTGCGTAAGTTTAGTACAGTCTTGTACAGCATCGTGCTCTATCACTGCGTTACAAGAAGATGCCAAAAACCTATCAAACGGTCGAGGGTGAGATCGCCGTCTTGACGGAGCTCGATATGAACATGATGCTCCGGATTAAATTCTAATTTTTCCTCGATTAAGTAAACGGCTTCGACGAGAATCTTCTCGAGAGGACTTCTGTCAGGTAATGCCAATAGCGAATGCCCTCCGCAACAAAAACAGAATGGTGCGTGATTCGCTGGAAGTGTCAATGCCATTGAATCGTTTCTGTAGGTGACAAACATGTCGTCTCCGTATTGACGTAACTGACATCACTCGGCTGTTCTCTCGTGTTTCCATTGAGCTTGAGGCCTGGCGGAAGGACGGACACGTCGGATCTATGCGAGGAGTCGTCCGACACCGACAGTCCAGAATAACCATTTAAAGCAACAAGATGTGGTGGTGAGCAATTATTGACCTTGTGGTGGACTAGCAGGCGCAATTAGTCAGTGTTCTGTGTGATGGTATAACGTAACGGAATCATAACTAACAGAAGTTACACCCTCCAAACACAGGGACAAATGGTCCATTGTAGCATTAGCATCAATAGCAGGAATGAAATGACGTGGTGTCCGAGTCGTGGCAAAAGAGCACGCCCGGATCTACACATCTTGCCATGGTTAGGTTATAATATACAAGCGTGTCAGCCCGATGACAAAGCCTTAAGCATCCGGACGCACGTATGCAAGCTTGTAGCCATACAATATTTGTGGTGCATAAGTCTGAGGTTTTGAACCTTGGATGACAACCACCATCACGACGACCAACGGTGAACCCGATGGCTACTTTCAAACGCAATTTATGATGGAACGTGCGCATAAAGTCCTGGTTATGGGCATGGACAGCATACTCCGCCAAGTCAACAACGATCACTCCAAGGACTTGCAAAATTGGCTGGGATATGTGAGAACATTCATAAATCTGGTCGATAAACACCATCGTATGGAAAGAACTGTCCTGTTTCCCATCTGGTAGTCGCATGGATTCAAAGTCGATACAGAGTTGGAGCAACATGCAAAGATGCACCAAAGCATTGACAAAATTCAAGCTGATCAAGATGCCTTCGACATGCGATGCCAATCAACTGGAGTTTCTATTAAGCGATAGAGGATAATATCCGTGCGCATCTGGCAGAATAAGTAGCCCATCTTGACCGCGCCAACTTCGAGCGACACATGACCTCCGACGACCTCGAACAATCGCTTGCCGACCCATTGGTGCTATGGTAGACCGATTTGTCACAACTTGCTGTGAGGCACTTCTGTCAGATCATGAGTAAGTTTGATCTAAAGAGATCATGCATCAGCGCAAATAGCCAATCCTATTATCTGTGCAGAATGCTGGGTACAGCGATACATGGAAATAATAATATGTACAAATCAGGGAATGTTTCGTATCGATGCAATGCCGTCTATGGCCTCTTCTCGTTACGAGAGTCGTTAACCACCTTCCATCCACCATATTTGATGGCAGACTCCATAATGCTTTTCATACCCGGTGGAATGTACTGCGGTAACCTTACTTGAAATTCGACATGTAAATCACCCCGGCGACCATGTGCCGTGCCATCCCTTTTCGGTACTGGCATGCCTTCGTTGGCAACGATTGTGGTGGAGGTCGACTGGCCTTGTTTTGGTAGTGGTACGTCTATGGTGCGGCCATCCAGATGGACCAAAGGGCGCGAGGGACCTTTGATAGGGATGCTGCCTTCGGGATTGCGCTTAGAGTCCCATGGCTTACCACGCGGATAAGCAGAAGCAGCTTGGGGTGTGAATGGACCTTTTAGGTAATGGACCAGGTCCAGCATCGAGATCTCCATGGTTGTGTACAAATCATGTCCCTCTCGCTTGAATCGATCATGCGGCTTTTCCTTGATGGTGATGACGACATCTTGCATGACTCCAGAGGATTGCTGATCACCTTCTTTGACAAACGTGAGCCTTGTGTCCTCCTTTGTGCCTGGTACGATGGGTATCTCGAGAAGGCTCGATGTGGTCGTGTACGTGGGTGGGTCAATGCCGCGACGACTGGGTGGTGTGGATAGGAGCCGTCGTGTGATTTTGATCTTCTTTGTTTTGCCGATATAGATATCCTCCAACGTGCAGGTAAGCGGATATTCCATCGGAGGAGGTTTGGAGGATGACGAGGATGCCTTGCTCGCATACCCCGAGGTATCTTCCTTTGAGTAATCGTAGGTCCTGTCTTGATTTGTTTCTTCCTCGTCCACCTGGCCTTTGCCGGCCGGCATCCCAGTGTAGGCGCTAAAGAGCTTGGTGCCTAGCCTGACGCCTTCCCAGAGATCATTGGACGTTATACCCGATCGCGAGGATGGATTCACAAGCTTTTGCCCTAATCGAAGTGCCGAAAGCAAGTCTTGTCTGTCCATATTTTTGAGTGTAGACATGAAGTTTGCAAAGATGTCTTCGGGATTCGAAGGGACAAACGGTCGAAAGAATTCCTCAAAGGTGGTTGCTTCTTGCGATGTCGAACTATGAGCACCATTTTGTTGGCCCCCAAAGCCGCTAAAGCCACTGAACCCACTAAAACCGCCACCGAAGCCGTCGCTTGTCGGACGTCTGCTGCCGTGGCCGGATTTGATCCCCTCTTCTCCGTATTTATCATAGAGATAGCGTCGTTGAGAGTCAGAGAGTACTTCATAGGCTTCAGAGACCTCTTTAAACCTGACGGTTGCTAATTCAATCTGAACAGCATTCCGGTCAGGATGCCACTTTAGCGCTAAGTTGCCCGATCAGTACAACGAAAGACCATGCGCACGAGCGCTCACCTTGCTTTTTGTAAGCCTTCTTTATCTCTTCGGCTGTAGCTTTCCTCTCTACACCTAGTATCGCGTAATAGTCTTTACCCATGAGGAAGCGAAAGGGAGCGGACAGGCGAACGAGGTGCAAAGAACACTTGTTCGGTCATGACAGGTTATGTCTATAAAAGGGAAGTGCGTCATAGCACTATGGACGCGCGACGGGCAGGACGAGCGGACTTTTCTGGTGACATTGGCATGCTACGACCGCAGCTCTGATGAGAATGCACTCAATACATGCGATAGATATATTGATATGGTATCGCTGGTATGATTGCAATTGAATGTTAACTAAATGTACAGAAATCTATGCAATCTCTACAATATGTTGATATCAGGCCTTGGCTTGTCCGGTCTCGGTCGCCAACTTGGCAAAGAGACTGTGTGGATTGGCCAGAAGGGCGTTTGGCTCACCGAATTCTGCTACTCGTCCGTAGTCCATGACCAATACTGAATCGCTGTCCAAGATGGTCGCAATACGGTGGGCAATGGTGATGACGGTGCAGGTCGAAAAGTGTTCGCGTATGGCTCGTTGAATAAGTGCGTCCGTCTCCAGATCCATGGAGCTGGTCGCTTCATCCAAGATTAAGATTTGTGCTTTTCGCAGCATGGCGCGTGCCAGACCGACTTGTTGCAGCTGTCCCTTAGATAGATTGGCTCCACCGGATTGAATCTCTGCGTCCAGACCTCCATGCATGTTTTGATTAACATGATCTTTCAGACCTGCAGCTTCCAGCGCATGCCATAAATCTGCATCTAAGTGATCGCCGAACGGTGACAAGTTCGTCCGCAAGGTTCCGCCAAACATGGTAGCATCTTGGGGAATAATGGCGATAGCGCTTCGAAGTTTTGCGAGTCCAAGCTCTGCAATATTGACTCCGTCAATTGATATGGATCCTCCAGCATGCTCAACGTCGGCTTCTCCCTTTTCAAGATCCTCGACGGACTCGATCATATCGACGTCACTGGTGCGATCCATGGGCTTGAACGAGATGCCTTCAATGAGACGAAACAACGCCAACGTCAATGTGGATTTTCCGGATCCCGTCCTGCCAACGATGGCGACCTTGCTACCACCGGCGAATTTGACAGTGACATTCTTGAGTGTAAGTGGCAAGTCCTTGCGATAGCGAGCAGAAAAGTTGTCGAAGACAACTGTGCCTTCCTGAGGCCACATTTCGTGCTTGACGTCAGTGGGCAGATCCAAGGGAGCTTCGGATGGTAGTTCTGTATACTGAAGGACCCTTTCAGCATGCACTGCATCCACTTCCATCATACTGAATGTGTTGACCAAGACACTGAGGAAAGCGACCACGTTCATGAGCGTACTGACGGCTAATCCCACTACGGAAGTCGAAATAGTATTGCGAGCAACCACAGCGAATATTGAGCACGCTAGAATGAGAATAGCTCCGAGAAACTCCAGTCGAATCATCATCCAACCGAGCAAGATGAATTCCATTCGCTTGGCACGTTGATTGAGATCGACCCGAGCATGAAACTCTTCAAGCCAATTAGCTGTCAGGCCATAGGCTTTGACCGTCTCCATGCCTTCGAGTGTGTGCGAGATGTGTTGATAAAGAGGAGAACGGGTTCTTCCGGCATCCAATCGTCGCAGGCCCCGGGCTGTCGCCTGATAAAACTCCATAATGAAATAATAGAGAACGGCCAACGGTGGGAGCATGACAAAAAGGTATGGCGTAGCTACACCAGCAGCGATAAGGGATGCAGCGACTTGGTTGAATTGAGCAAGAGTGGCAAAGAGCTTATCCGTAAGACCTGCATCG